TTAAATGTCAAAAAGCTGAAAATTCTATATTCACTGCATTAGAAATGGTCTGGATGTTGCTGCAATACAGTTTATTCGTTATTTTAATTTCTGCACCTTCCTATATTCTCTTGTTGCTCCTAATTAGAGATGTATGTCATCAGAAACTTACATTGCTGAAATAAACACCTCAAGTCCAATTTGTCAGTGTGAGCTCAACCCCACCTCCCGTCCCAAAGATAAATAATCAATCACCACCTGCAGGAGGGCGGGGTGAAGTCAGGGATCAAATTGGCCCGGCCGTCACTTCTCTACACCTGAATTAGCTCAATAAATGTTTCAAACGTCACAACAACTACAAGCCACACAACTCTGGGGGTTGCCTAGCTGTTGCATCAGTATGATGAAGGGGTTGCTCTAGATCTCTCTGCATGTGGTGTTTATTCATTAATTTATGTAGTAGTTTCTCTGATCCCACTTCAGAGGGAATACAAAGGCCGTGTCCCCCTTTCTTTTTTTTTTTCTTTTTTTTTGCTGCATGGGAATCCAAGTCACTGCTAAAGCACAGGTGCATCATCAGACATACAGCTGTTTTCCATCAATGCAGATGATTTTTAGATTGATGGAAGTCAGTTTTCAGTTTATGTCAAACTCAACTCAGCATGAAGAGTTTTAGGGTGATAAAACACCTGATAGTTCAGCAGACCAAAGTTGCAACATTTGTTACATTTTCTGATGCTGTGGCTCTCTTTCACATTGCACCTGTTCCCCTCCTCGCCTGTGGGGGCGCTGCAGTAAGAACCACTGAAGGAAACGACAAGAAAACCTCTTGAGGTGCAATTTCCTTTTCGAAGGAAGTTGGATGCATTTTTAGACACTACTTCAAAAATGGAGTAGCGTCAGATTTCTTCTGCTAGCGCTAAACTAGGTTGTTTTTACCCAGAATGCCACACAGTTGGAAACATTTACCTTTGAGCAGACTTTCTGGTGGACGTCCATTTTGACTAGGGATCAGTGACAACAGCGATTTTTTTTTTTTAAATATTGATCCATCCTGCAATCCAGGACAGAGAAGAGATTGAGTCTAAATATTTTGATATCGATCCAATACCAATACTGAAACTTTTTATCAATTAGGTTTGATATAACATCACACCTCTGACTTTCTTATCTCCTTTAAAACCTGGGACAGAATTTGGAAGCATGTTATGCTTCCTTTAACAGATTAGGATTGATCTCAAACATTTACAAAACATTTTCATTACATTTTTTGCACAAAATCAATCTTACATAATGACATTTTAGTTGGAATAAGATATTTTAAGGTCTCTGTCATTTTAAATCCAAATAAGCTGTTGCTGGCCACAGTCCCCAAACTCAACATTTGAACTCGCAAGTAAAAATGGCTGCAAACAGATGCGCAATTATACAAGAGTACGTCTTTGAAAAGCAGCAATGGAGCCTTCTGCACAACCAACAGTGGTTGGTGAGTCAACATCAAAACTCGTGTCTGTCCCAGCAGCCATTGTACAGCACATACAGCGGCAAACCAGCTGACCAAATGTGCTGGAGCTCAGTTTAGGTTGCTAGGTAACAGCAAACCTCCCACTCAACAATTGTGAGGTTTCTGAAACAGTTTGGTTTTTAAACACAAAAAGGGATTATTACAACAACAAAAAATGCATTGGGTGTTTTAGAAGCAGTAGAAACTCAAATGGAAGTAAAAGAAACGTGCAAAAGGTGAATTTTTAACAAAATGAGGACAAGACAGAGAATAAAATAGTCCTGAACTCTTTCTCAGGGGTTTACAATAACCAGTTAATACAGAGCACAAGAAGTTGCATTGAGTTATTATGATGTACTTGGAAACTAGAGGAACCAGTTATGAACCAAGGTAAAACATCTTCAAACAAGTTCTTTTATTACTGGGAGGAGAAACGTGTGCAGCCTCCTCCAGGGAATCCTGATGTGTGGAGCATCCATTAAGAAATGGGACGTCTCTGTACCTCCAACCCCAAAGAGGCGCGGAACACGGTGCGTGACCTCTGGAAACACTTAAACGACGTGGAGGAACAAGCTCTTCCCTTATTAATGTGCTGCTTTACAAAGCAACACACCATGCTCTGTTCCCCCAGGACAAGACGGTGCAATGAGTGTGGCGAACAGGTCTGTTCATTTTTTAAACCTGGCCTTAAAGGTGACGCAGTAAATCAAGATGCTGTTTAGCTGCTCCGCTAGGTTTTACTCACTCTCCGGCTGATGCATGTAATGACTCATGAGCCATCCGTCTCCGACAGAAGCTACAGCTCAAACGTCTGGTTGCAAATAAAGTCTTCACTTTTTACATAGAAATTCTTGGTTAATTCTTGTGTCACAGTGTGGAATCGATTGGCAGTTCCAGCCATGATGTGTTCACAGTCCAGAGGACAGGGCTGAACGCTTGGCTGGCTTTGTACCTATTAAAGGTGGCGCTTTAGAATAAGGGGGAAATGCTTACTTTGATTTCCCCCAGGCTTTTTGCTCTCAGAGCAAAATGAAAAGGCTCCTTCTACGGCGCCATAAAAGGTACGACCCGCCACGCAAAGGCCCATTTATCCTCAAAGAATCGCTCACACATACATGCATGCACAGGAGCGTTTTATGAGCTCGCAGTCTGCAAAAGGTTTTGCCAGTTAAAAGATTTCTTCACAACTGTACGACCTTGTGTGCTTCATAAAACATGACGGATGCAGGGATGTGTTCGGGCATGACAAGACGATTGATTGTTTTCCCTGCTGTGGCGCTCATGTTTCATTGCCTGGCTGAGAAAGCATGGGACGCGGCGCCGCTGCCGATCCATATCCAGTCATGCACATGGAGCCTCGCAAAAGTGTTCACACCACTTTACATTTCACCACATTAAAGGAGTTTTCACACTTGATAGCGCGGTAGATTCGGTTCGACTGGAGACTAAAACCACAACATTTGTTACATTTTGTGTCAAATTAGAAACGTTTTGAAAAATCTGTTCCTCTCTTCGCCTGTGGGGGCGCTGCACCAAGAACAACACTGCAAAAACACAGAATATTACAGTTTTTAGTGCAAATATCTTGAATTAAGCCAAAACTAAACTACAAGTAACTTTTCAGCAAGATATAGCAGCTTGTTTTAAGTCAATCATTTCTTAGAATTGGGAAAAGATGTTCTTGATCCAATGGCAGATTATTTCACTGCCTTGTTATAAATAAACTGAACTTCTTTCTCAGTTTTGAGGAATTATTTACTTAAAACAAGTTCCTGATGTTTGCTGACAAATTAGTAAATTGTGTCTTATTTCAGTGAAACTAACACATTTATTCTGGAAACTAAACCAAAAACATTTAGTAAAATTTTGTGTTTTTGCAGGTTGTTCATGAACTGAAACTCCTGGATTTCTACGCAGAATAAATTGCTACACAATTGTATTTCAAATGAAAAGAAGCTTCTGTTGGAAGAGATAAAATGTGAAAAAGTGAGAAGATTTCTGCAAGGCTCTGTATTTTCTGCTATCCGTGATCTCTGATCCCTAATGATGCTGAGGGACAGGTGGAACTGATGCGCTCTGTTTGGCGGCAGCGGCGGCGAGGAGGTAGGGTTCAGTTGGACTCGGCCGCCGGCATCTTGAACCGATCTCCAAACGCTGGAAACAGCCAAAGGTCGTTACCTCTGAGTGTGCGTAAGAGAGAGAGAGAGAAATCGCTAAGAGGCGTCCCTCTTCGTCTCTCATCACACATGAAATTACAGCTGATTCTAATAATTTATCAGGTTTTACAGTCTGGTTCAGCGCTCACTCCCAGCGCCGGGCGAAACGCGGCGTGGCACGAAGGGTTCCACGTTTGATTAAGTCGCGTTACCCTCCGTATCCTTCCATCAGAAAGGTCACCACACATCCTCCTCTCATTTACATTTCACAGAGCAAGCCCCCAAAGCCGGGATCATTTACGAGGCGTAATCCATTTCATTCACCATTTCCCCAAGTCGAGAGTCGTTTTGGTGTGGAACATGAATCCATGGGAAATTTCCTTTCAGTGTGAAATTTGTGAGAAAAATGGCACCTCCGTTGCAGTTGGAGTCAACCTTTAGTTATTTTATCTCCTGTTTTAAAGCACCTACGTTCTCCACAATCAATTTTTTCATTTCTTTATATGCAACTATTACTGTTTAGAAATGGATCATAGTTACAGCATCTGATGTACAATGGCTGCTGGAAGAGACAAGTGTTTTGTTGTTGACTTACAATCCAGAAACCACTTGGTTGTGCAGGAGGCTCCACTGATGCTTTTCAAAGATGTACAGTTGTATAATCGCGCATCTGTTTGCAGCCATTCTCATGTGTGAGTGTAAACATTGAGTTGGGGGGCGTGGCAGGCAGCAGATTATTTGATTTAAAGCAACAAGACGCCCCAATGTGCTGTCGTATAAGTGTGACAGCATTTATCCTCATTAGAGACATCATAGCTTACTAATGCATCTACTTATAAACAAATTTCAGACATCTTGAAATATAAGTGCAGTGAAACAGATTAAATGCTAAACTGGCTAGCCGTACGGTTGGACAGCGCGTCGCCTCCATTGTTCTCCGCCGTGTTCTTCTTCTCTGCCTGCTAAAGTCCGGAAGGCATATTCATGAGGGAGGCCTAATTAAGCAGTCGGGGTCTGGATGGCGTCCAGATGGATGAGTTATTATTGCCGTTATTGATACTGGCTGGTTTGAGCCCCGCTATCAGGGATTAATGCTGCTTGAATTTAGAAGCCATCTTACCACTTAGTCCCATGATGAATAATGTTAGGCAAAGTCGTTTGCTCTGACACTCACTTACTTCCCCTCATTTTATGTACTTTGCTTGCCTTATTAAGGCTCTTACCATCGGCTTAATTGCCTATTTAGAATTCCCCTCTTTGTGACCTAGATGTGTGTTATTTTGTGAATGTAATTAAGTTACCTGTAAATATCTCAGCCGGAGCCTCATCCATCTACGTTACGTCGGCACTCTTTTTTTACATTTTTAATTAATTTAATGGCTGCCGTATCTGGACACGTATAACCTCGATAAAACCAGAAGAAATTGGTTTCGGTGGTGTTGGACTGGAGTTGTAATGGATCGGCGCTGGAGTGGCGAAGCGTCTGGCACGTGCGGTGAAGGATTCAGGGCGCGTGGATTAATGTGCCGCATGTGAGGAAACACTGCACATAGACAAAAACTGTGCAGTTAAAAAGAAATGTCATGATTATCACTTAATAATGTCGACTTCTATAAGAACAATGGAAATAAATGACACTTAGTGTTAATTTAAATTCGGTTTAATTTTGTTTTTTAGCTTAAAGATGTCATTCCCCTAGACTGACACGGTGGACACTATCTGTGTTTTTGAAAATTGTTTGGAAGAAAATTTAAAAATTCTGTTAACTAAAAACACGACAAAATTACAGATGAATAAGTTTAAAAAACATGCAGCGTCATCATACTCCTAAAATTTCCTGTCTTCTTCTTCGTCATTTCTACCAGTAGCAACATTTGATTTACTGAAGAGGATTATGGTAACTGATAGATGAAAAAAAAAATAGACCTTTTTTTTCTCACTAACATTTTTTTCTAAAAATTTGGACTATTTTTTCTCAGGATTTTGACTCTTTTTTTAGAATTTTAACTCTGATCTCAGAATTTTTTACTTTTTTCTCAAAACTGTGAAAATTCTTAGAATTCTGACTTTAATCTGAAAATTGTGACTTTAACCACAGAATTTCTACTATTTTTCACAAAATTTTAACTTTTTCTTAGAATTTTTAAATTAATCTCAGAATTTTTTACCTTCTTCTCAAAATTGTGACTATTGTCAGACTTCGGATTTAATCTCAGGATTTTAACTTTTTTTCTCTCAGCATTTTGACTTTAACCTCAAAATTCTGACTTTAATCTCAAAATTCTGACTTTAATCTGAAACATTGTGACTTTCTTTCTAAGAATTTTGACTTTTTCTCAAAATCCGGTCTGTTTATTCTCAGAATTTTGACTTTAATTTCTTCACGTTCCTGCTACGCAACACAGAAATGAAAATAAGAGTGTATTAAAATCGCACCAATATGTTAAAATATGACTCCAATGTTGATAATATCGTACATCCTTAGTTTTTTCCCCTAAAATGCCTCCAGTCCTGGTTGTGATTTATTGCAGGTGTGAAAGGAAGGAATCCATGTAAAGTTTGTGCAACATGTTGCAGGAACAAGTTGTCGTCTCTTTCCATATGTTACTGCAGTTTCTTTCCAATTATGGTTAAAATGTCAGCAGCTGAATCACAGTGTTTCTGTTCCCAGCCAATATGTTCTGCTGAAAATGGGTACATGAGGGGGAAAAATGCACCAGCAGCTTTTAAAGCTCCATAAAACAGCTTGTTTTAAAGCACAGATCCAGGGTTTTACGGGGTTTTAAGAGATATTAATGACAGAAACTCCGTTTACGTAAGTGGTGCAACACGTCACATGGTCACTGCAGATCTTTCCTTCTTCAACTTTTTGTTATTTTAGAGGACAGTCGCTGACTAAACTCCACAGTAGGTTTTTCTTCGGAGAACTCACTACCCTGACCTAATTCAATCCTTTAAGATGAGTATCCCCTTACCTTAATCCCCTGCTGGAATAGCAAACAGCTTCTGTTCTCTGAGCCGGATCTCCGAGGATTGGTTCGCCAAATTTCTGAACGGAGAGGAGAAACTAAATCAGATTCTCCTTCAGGAAACACAGTTATCCCTCAAACATTCACAACTTTTCCTGAAAACGAACATGTGAAGAATGGTTAAACTGATGACTATGAAACAACCTGTAACCATGACAATATTCATCCATGTTGGTTATTTTTACTTTGGAGAGAAGAAAATCATAAAGAAAGTTGGGTTGCGACAAACAATTGTTAGCAATCGATTATTTGATTGATTATTCTAATGATTAATCAAATTCTAATTTGTCTCATTCTGCATATCTTTCATTTTTTCACTTAAGTCTTTTATACACAATATTAGAAATTTATTAATAGATGAAAAAAGTAAATAGTTTTACTTATTTAGAGAAGAAAATTTAATTTTATATCATAAAATGTAATAATATGGCATTTTTGAGAAAATGTTTCTCATCATAATGAAAAAAAAATAAAAAATTTGTACAGTTTTGTCTTAATTACTTCTCTGAACATGGTGTTTTTTAAGCAAAAGGACTCCAGTTAACGATTAGTCGTTTACTATATTATTTGGTTGTTATTGCAATAATCAATTAATCAAAATTAATTTGATTATTCGTATATATATAACTGAAGCCCCCAAATATTTTTGGTCTAGTATGTAGTGTAAATATTTTAATATACTTCAACAAGATAAAAATAACTTCAAGTGCATTATAGGAATTTGTTTTAAGGGCATTCCAGATAGAAAAAAATGGAGAAGCAAAAAACTAATGTGAGAAATTTTCTAGAAAAAAGTTTAAACTTTCTGAATTCCAAGTCAGAAAATTATGGGAACAAAATCTGAAATTTTCTAGAATTTCCTATTGTGAAATCATTTCTAGGAAAAATCCCAGGACATTAATCTAGAAAAACTAGGAAACTTGAATTTCAAAAACTGAAAACTTTTGACTTTTCAAACAGAACTATTGACTTAAAACAAACTCGTATCTTGCTGAAAAGTTACTTGCAGGTGAGTTTTGTCTTGTTTTATGTGTGCCAAGATATTTTCAGAAGAAACCACTTGGTAGGTTTTGTGTTTTTGCAGTGTAAAAACACAAAACCTGTTTTGAGTTTTCTGAATTTAGCAGAAAACTCATCATTCTGACATCATCCTGACATTCCTCACTGAACCTCCATGGAGAACATTATTTTGCGAGCTGGACTGCCTCAGCTTTACGTCTTATTGGCACTGTCAAAGCCCGTCTTCCATTAACCTCTGCAAATTAATTATTATCGACACATTTGGATGGCGCTATTGGATGAGACTGAATGCCAGATTGATGCTGTAATTGTAGCGACTCGTTATATAATGAAAGGTCACGCAGAAAAGAGATGAGATACTTGATATTTATTCATTCGTGAGGATAAATCTCTCTTTTAATGTGCAGACTATTTAGAAGATGCATATACCATTTAAATTCCCTCAGCGCTAATCATGGGTTGCTTTATTTTTAGCAGACAAGTTGACATTTTTCTTGACTTGCTGCTCTGAAACAAAGGAATAAAGGCATCTCCTGCAGACAGTGTGCAGGCTGAAGTCTGTCAGAGTGTACTGTAAACTCATTTGCTCTCATCTCACAGAAACACGATGCTGTCAGTGCACTCGCGCTCGCCGAGTGATAGATCTTTGTTCGAGACCACCGACACTCGGCGCAGACTTGTTCAGGCTGGAAGAATGAAACCCAGGTTTAGGCAGAACGTTTCTTTGATCGCAGCTGGTTAATCGCGACTCTTTTCTCTGCAATCAGCTAAGTGTTTCTGCAGATTTCAGGCTGGTGTTAATGTTTTGACATTTGCGTTGCCTCGGGATAAAGGCGGCGTCATTTCCTGACTATTTATGGCCGAGTTTTTGGCGTCGTTTTTGACATGGGGATGATTGGCTTCAACACTTCAGTCAGATGAAAAGTGCTGAATGATTTCAAAAAATTTTACACAAGGCTGCTTTTTTGCAACATATATAAATCTTTAATATCAGTTGTGACAAACTGTAAAAAAGAAAAATCCTAGCAAGTATTTGTGGTTTAGTTTCGAGAGCAAATATCTTCATTTGAAATATGAGTAAACTGACTTAAGGTAACTTTTCAGCAAGAAAGAGGAACTTTATTTTTATCAAATATTCTTTAATATTAATAAATAAGTCCTAATTCTTCTAAATAATTGTTTCACTTATAATATGGGAAAAATGTCTTGTTATAAGTAAAATAATCTAAGTATATTTCTGCCCAAAAACTATTTTGAGATTAATCTCAACAGTCGAAATCAGACATTTCCTTGCTTCTTCTCAAAAATTGCCTTTTTTCAAAAACTTTCCACTTTTGGAGCTGCAATATTTTTGTTTTTTCTAGAAAAGTTATGCACTGAAATGTATCCCTTTTTTGTATTTTTTCTCTAGTATTTTTTGAGTTTTAAAACTCAAAAATGTACATGCTTTTTCTTGTTTTAAGTGAATAATTCCACTTCTAATATGGGAAAAATGTCTTGTAATTAAAATAACCTGAAAGTGGAATGTACAATGGAGTAGTTATGGGAATTTTAGATAAAAAAAAGGAGTGTATTTCTGCCTAAATTAACTATTTGAAATTAATCTGAAACATTTTTTGGAAAATTTATGATCTCAAAAAGTCTAAATAGTTAAATTTTGAAACTCAGAAAAGTTCCTGATGTTAAAGATTTTTGATATTTCCTTGCTGTTTTATTATTTGTTTTACTTTTTTTTTCTAGAAAATGTATGGGTTTTCAGGTGTAAATTTATCCCTCGTTTCCTCCAGTTTCTTGAGTTTTCAAACTCAGAAATTTACATGATTTATGTTTTAAGTTAATAATTCCTTTATATCGATCCAAAAATTGCAAGTTCCACTGGCAGATTATTTCACTTATGCATGAAAGTGAAATAAACTGCACTTTCTTATCAATATTACGAATTAAAATGAACACAAACTCTTCTGTTTAGTTGAAAAGTTACTCGGAAGTTAGTATTTTAAGTCTCCTAAGATATTTGTGATAGAAATCGAACCCAAAATACTTGTTTATATTCAATGTTTTTGCAGCATTCTGCACGTTGCTGGACGTAAAGTAAAATGTTCTTTTCCAAAACGAGGCGCCGAGGCCATATGGCGCACGGCGCCGGCAGTAATTCTCTCCACGGTTTGTCCGTCTCGGAGCAGATCTGAGACACAATGCAGGAGATGATCGAGTCTTAGTGTCAATACATCAGCCCAGAAAATTACCTCCTCTCTGCTTGGCCTACTTTAATCTGTGGCCCTCTATTGAAGCAATGAACACTCTCTCCTCTGTCCTATTGACGACGTAAAATAGGTTTGCCGGCTTGATTGACAACTTTGTCCAGCTGACAAAATGTAATGCAGTCCAGGACAAAAAACAGATCAGGAATTCTTTTGGACCCAATCTGGTGCCGCCGATTACATTTTTCTCCTCCGTCTTCTTCTTTATTGTATCAGATGGGTCTTTTGAAGTATTGAGGGAGAGTTTTTTTGATTTATTTATGTCGTGTGAGTGCTCACACACGTATTCAGCTGCATGTTTGAGAAGAAGTTGGTTTTGGCTTTTTAAGCTCCGACTTTCATCCGGACCGACTCCTGAATAACAACAAAAAAAAAGAAAAAAAAAGAAAAAGAAAGTGTGTTCTGCCACCAGAAATAAGATCTCATAAAAACAGCACCGACTACCTCTGGTAGCATTCCAGTGACCATGATTTATTTTTCTGTTCTAGCTCGGTGAATTATTCAGGCTGCACTTGTAGACATCAAACACATTTTCTGCTGACAGGGAGATTTAATGAAAACCAATTCGGCTCTCCAGCAGCACTAAAATGTGAATTAAACTGATGGTTTTTAGAGCTATTTGAGGGCTTGTTTTACCTTGTATGTGTAAGATATATCTAAGCTGTTAAAGCCTGGCTTTGATATGAAATTAATGTCAAACTAAATTTCAGCTCCACACCAAGAAAAATCTTGAAATATTATTGTTAATGTTTGAACAAAAAAATTTATTATTTGGCGTCTCTGCAGTGGAAAATATTCGTAACCTTTTTCATTTTGTTGAAATTTTATCTAATTCAACTCAAATCTGAGCAATAAAAACCTAAAAACTTAAATTGAAATTCACTTTTTGCACATTTTCTACTTCCGTTTGGGGCTCAACTGCTTCTGAAACAGTCAAAGTACTTTAAAAAAACATCCAGAAATGAGCCATTCCGAAAACTTCCCAGATGTTAAGTCACATTCTGTTGCCTCGCAACCCCAGCTGAGCTCAAGTTGGTTTTTACAGCAGGATTCAGCTTCTATGCGTCACAAATCTGGAATAAACATCCAGAGCAAACACTGAGTTCCTTTAAATGAAATCAACAAACACACCTGTTTAGAGCTGACTCTGAACCATAATAAATGGAACATGGTTCAACAAATTTGATGTGTGTCGATGACTTTGATGATACACTCAACTAATATAATGTTTGGTTTCTTAATTACAGACTTTTTGTTTTGAAGTTTTTATGACATAAAAACATACTTTGAACTGACTTGTTGCTAAAATTTACTATACAAATACGCTAGACTGAGCTACAATGGCTGCTGGAAAAGACAAGTGTTTTGTTGTTGACTTACCATCCAGAAACCACCTGCTGCATTCTCATTAGTTAGTTGTGCGGAAGGCTCTACTAATGCTTTTTTGGTTTTTGTATAGACGATAGGTCTATACAAGGCATCTTCAAGGAAGTTCATCTCATTCTCACATCCCTCTAACGTTAGTTTTGACTGAATCAGCAGTTTTCAGAGTGTTGCTCCTGAAACTGGAAGTAACAGAAGAGTCATCGCTGTGAGACAGTTTAATGTTTCCAAGTTTTCCAGGAAGTTGTTAGTGAGAGAAATAAGCTTATTAAACGCAAGCATCTAAACAAATTTCTGTAAATCGGAGTGAGATGGCAGTCGATAACGCATTGATTCCTGTAGCGCCTCTTTTCTCCATAAACGTCCTGATCCTCCAGTAAGCAGCAGCAGCAGCAGCGGTCTCCAGACGGGGGAACAGAAAGCGGTCATTTTGAGAGGAAACCGCGTTAACTCGGACTAATTTATTTTGCCGCAGCAGGGCTTTGGAGGACGTTAAGTATTCATGGCATGAATTTTCCATCAAATCCATCCAGAGAACACAGTGATCACAAGGCTTTAAATAACCAAAAACTGCAAGCGGAGCGTGTTAACCGGCAGGGCTCTCCTCATCTGTTATGCTACCAATAGGTGAACAAAAGCAGCAGAACTGTACTACATTACTGCCACAGTGTGCTACAATTTAATGATCATGTCAGCAGTTCTCTTCAAAGGCCTCACTTCTGATCAGATAAGCCTCTGGTTTCCTCTCCGTGTTTGAACCCCCATGAACTAGAAAATGGATCTACCCCATCCATCCAGCCCTCCGTTCGTTTGGCACGGGGGCTGAAACTCAATCGGCGGAGAGCTTTTGGAAACAAATTTTGATCAAGAGCATAAAAGGACATTCGGCTCGACGTGAAAATTACCGGGTTAAGCTGTGGGGGACAAACGCTCCTCAGAAGTGATCAAACCGCTTCGATTTGTTTCACATTTTGAAAGATTGGAACCACCGGCGTCAAGTTTCTTCTAAATTATCTGGGCTAGTTAAATATCTTTCTACATTTAAAATAAGACAAAACTAACTTTAAAGTAACTTTTCAGCAACATATAGGACATTGTTTTAAGTAAATAATGGTTCCTAAAACTCACTAAAAGTAAATTAGTTTTGTTATATTTAAATGTACTAAAATATTTAAACTAGAAAATAGACTGAAATACTAGTGGAACTAGTACTTTTTAAAATCAAAATGAAGGAATTACTGACTACGTCTCACTGAAAAGTTACTTACAAGTTAATTTAGTCTTTTTTCCAAGTGTACTGCACTAGAAGCTAATAATAATACTTTGTGAGATTTTGTGTTTTACAGTGAGTGAAAATCAAATTCCTTGTTTTTGTGCAGAAACTTGGTCAGTAAAATCAACTACCAACATTTGCACCATACATATAGATACAATTAATTTATATTATGCTTAATTTCAGCTGCTAATCAAGCTAAACTGTAGCACTTTTCGCTCTCTTATTGCTGCTTGTGACCTTGAATGTTTGCCTATTAAACTGCCGATGCTCAGACAAGTATCCATCTCAACCTCAGGGGACTCACGCACAAGGATAACGAATCAATCGCCGCCTTCATCCATGATCCAAAGGCACGATAACTCAGGACTTTGGCTCTTTCCCTGAGAAACTGCTTTATCTCCAGGGAGTAACTGCAGGCTGAAGACGAAGGGTAAACCGATGCAGAAAGAGGTCAGTGTCTGTTCCCTCCGCCCATGGCTGTCTTTCTTCTAAACTGGAATTGTTTTGGAAGAATGTCATATAAATACCTAAAGTACCATCCCAACCTAATTAAATGACACAGAAATGTAGCTAAGGAGATAAAACTGTCATAAAACAAATTTATCAGTTTTCTTCTTTTAACTTGAACTGTTAGAAATGCGCATAAGTAGGACGGGTTTTTAGGAACTTTTAGAGACATGTTGGAAATTAGGAGCTACTTTTTATTTGGTGAACTAGAAATTCAGGTTACAAGCCATGTTTTTATACGTCCATTTGGGTCTTAAGTGCTTCTAGAAATCATTCAAAGTGCTTAAAAAGACACTCAATAAGTTAATGCTGTAGCTTCTGGGAAATGATACAATTCAATAGTTACATCCAGGCACTGTGCCTGAACATTTAAAATGTGTATATTGAGCTAAATTTAGTTCTAAGGCTCCAATCACAATAAAATAAATAAGTAAATAAATAAATATTTTACCACTGGATGTGTTGTACAATGGCTGCTGGAAAAAGACAACTGGTTTGATTTTTCACTCACTATTCAGAAACCACTTGCTTTTTTTTTTTTTTTGCTCATTGTGCAGAAAGCTCCACTTCTACTTTTCACACATGTATGGTTGTGCATCTGTTTGCAGCCATTTTTACACGTGACTGAACGTTGAGTTTACGGGGCGTGGCCAGCAGCCTAAAACATCTCTTTCTGCCTGAAATCTCAATATTTGAAAATAATTTTGTGCAAAAAAATGTAATAAACGTGTTTTGTATAGACCACAGACCTATCCTAACCTGTTCAAGGAAGCATAATAGGTCACCTTTAAACAGTTCATTCATGGTTTGGATAGCTGGTTTCCAATATAAATGAAAACATTGTATGAAAAACTGCCTTTTGCCAGTGTTAGTTAATATAACAATCTGTTACATTTAAGGACAATAACTACTCAAAAACAGTTAAATTTAATGTCAGAATTAAAATAGAGACTTCAGTTGGCTGCTGCTCTACAACATGACCTTTTTGTGCTTTTTTAAAATGATTTTGAATGTGTCTCATAATGTCCAAATGTTCAATCTGTGCCTGTAAAGTAATAATTTTTCATCTTTAAGCATTTTCCTAACACGTTCTGTTTAAATATGGAGTCCCAGCTCCCTCTTTAATCCAGAAGAAGAGCTGATTTAATCCATCTTGCCCTGCCAACACTCTGCTATACGGCCTGATTTACATCCTGATTTGTTGGCCTTTATGTTCATGTAACGGTTACGCTACTCATGTGTGGGATATTAGAGCCTCTTTCACTGACGCCCATAAAAACCGACATTACAGGGCGAGGCGTCGATGAGCGGCGTACCGATTACGGCTTAATCATTTATTGAGATGCTGTGAATAAGCATCTGGTTTCTTGTTGCTGATTTGTCTGGATTTTTAAGGAGAAGTCAGTCAGCATCAGTCATAGCTGGTGATTATGATAAAATGAGGTTTTCACGCAGAGCATCCGAAGATGAGTCACTTCTGACCGCAACTTTTTAATTGAGTTGTTTAAAATGTCACAGCTTCAGATTTCAGACGGATGAATCAATCCGCATTAGTAATGTTGGAACAGTCATGTTTTATGTCTGTGTATTTTTAAGTTAAATCAGATTAGAAACAAAACTTATAAGGGATTTTAATGGTATTTTGTGAGATAACATAAATGGTGAATCTATTGTCCAAATCTGCTTAGAGAAATATGTATTACTGATTAAAATAGAAGAAATTAGAGACCCCAAATATATGTTGAGCATTAAATAATTAGTAAAAACTAATTTACACAAAGACATAAAATAACAATTATTTTAGTAATCAAATATTTTAGCATTTATTCTGATGATTAATCAATCTATGGATTAAAAATTGCCTCATTTTGCTGATTTTCAATTTTACCACTCAATGCATTGCAAGAAAGAAACAAAAAATGCATTTATTTTATTTTTTTTACATTTTATATCCTAAAATGAGGGGTTGATTTACAGGCTGGTAGAAAAAACAGAAGGTTGTGTCTTGCATTTGGCCAAAATACGCGTTTTTGAGTCAAACTTGCCTCCTAAGAGAACTCTAACGGCAACCTTTATTTAGGACTATAAGCGTAAAAGATACTTTTAGATCATTTCAGTGTGTTCACCTTGTAGTTTAAACATATATTTCTCTATTCAGCTTCTCATTGTATCATAGCTACAGCTGTGAACCTTGAATAGTTGCTGTAAATCATGTTTTGTGAAGTGGAGAAGTCAGGAGTGGCGTTTTGAATAACCTTGAGTAAACCATCTGTCACCCTGGCAGACACGGGTGGTTTGCAGGTAAGCTGGAAACTCTGCAGTCTCTATTATTCTGCATGCCATGTGAGAAAACCCGCTGACTTCAACCGTCCTGCTGGGCTAACCGCTGATTAGCTTGCAGTTTGGTTTGTGTGAAACAAAGCTGCATTAAACAGAAACATCCAACAAATACGCTCCTTTAATGCTATTCCACGGATTAGCTGCATCTCTTCCAGAAATCATTGCTGGAATTAAAAGCAGGAAGTTTCAGATGTTCTGCGCTGTAGCGTCCAGGTTTCCTTTATTTGTGTTGCGTTTGGCTCCAGTGGTGGCCAATTTCTGCACAGCAGCTGCCAGACGCGCATGGACACAAACCGCTGTTTCTCAAGAAGGCTGCAGGCGCGACAGAGAGGTGATGTCACTGTAAGTCATTTCTTCCTTTGTTCCAGCAGCTTCACGGTTTCTACAGGCCTGTTTAATCCTCCAAGCATAATTAATCAAACTATTTCATTCGCTTTTCTTTAACAAATTACTGAACTGAGGCGGTTTCCTGCTATTTTTAGTGCAAGAAAAGATCATATTTTACATTCCAGTAACATTCATGAGATAAAGTAAAGTGTTCAAATTGGACAACAATTTTGTTTAGTAAGTAATAAGCACAATTTATCAGAATTTTCAATTTTTGTAAGGTCAAAATTAATCACTAACAACTTTTTATCCATACTGTCTCATCATTTGGCATCTTCATTTGTTTAGTGATGTGAACCTGACAGCTTTACACCTTTAAATAGAAACTGTTTAGCTGTATATTCACATCGCTGGGTTGTGTTTTCTGTCTGACCATAATGGTTCTACCCAGAGAAATATTGGAAATATCTTATTATATTTGTACATTCTTGTTAACTTTTATGGAAAGTATACTGCTCCTATTGAATTGGATGGAACTTTTACCAATTTGACAATTTGAATGCTTTTGTACTTGAATTTGGTGCCTGGAAAATGAGTCGTTTCAAAAACCTCCCAATTTTTAAGTCACATTTGGGACTTAAAAAGAGCAGCCCATTACCTATCAACCTATCACAGAGATCCAGCACATTGGTTCAGCTGGTTTTATGCGTTGTACAATGGCTGCTGGCAAAGACAAGGGTTCTGTTGTTCACTTGCTATCCAAAAACCACTTAATGCATTCTCGTTGGTAGTGCAGAAGGCTCCACTTTTGCTTTTCAAATATGCACGGATGTGTAACTGTGCATCTGTTTGCAGGATCAATTTTTCCGTGTGACTATAAATGCTAATTTGGGGAGCGTGGCCAGCAGCAGTTTGGATTTTTAACACACTTGATTTTAAGATATGGTGTCATGTGTTTATGCACAGCTGTTTGTGAATTTGAGTTTTGTTTTGACAAGTTTTGTCGATAAAGCCGGTATCTCATGGTTTAGCTCTCTTAATGAAAGTAGTTTTTGATAAAGCTATATGCTTTGTTTTTATTGCTACAAACAACTGCCTTCAGCCCAGTTCTTGTGATTTGTTTGCTTGTCTACTTTTTATTATCTCTAGTTTTGCACTTCTATGTCTAACAGTGTCTCTTTGCTGCCAATGTACTTCTGGTCTTTGTAATAACTGGCTACCAGCCCTCCTTTCCTTTTCTTCTTTATTTTCTCCACCGCTAACGTTTTATATTATGTTGCCGCTTGACTACACTTACACAAATGTATCACCAATACACTGTCAAGATGCTTAATTTCATCAGCACATAGTCGCTGTCCGTATGGAAACCCTGACAAATAACATAACTACACAACACATATACCTCCATATGGATCAACACGGTTTTGTTTCATCCTTGGTTTCTTTCATGATTTGAACATAAGTCTGCCTGTTCTCCATCTGGCTGTTAATTTCCTGTTCAGTCGTGTTATATAAGGCAGCAAAACTATCATCAAATTATCATATAATTAAACCAGACCAGAAAACATCTGTAATTTTCTCCTGTTTCTCTCAAACAAAATCTGAGAAATCTATGCTGGACTCCAGGAGCTCCAGTTTCAGATGGTTCGATGAATTTCCCCAAGGTGTGAGCACAACTACAACTCAATACAGGTGTGTTTGTTGGCTCAACATCAAAAACATTAAAGCTGCTTCATTAACGCACTGTTTCTATGTTTTCCCCCAAAACCTAAACCAGCAGAATTAAAAAAAGAGAGCGAACAGGTAAAGTAGAAAGAGACATGTTAGCAAATATAAAGTGTATAATAATAACTCTGAAACTTCTCATCTATTATTGAGTCCTGACATTGGCAAGTGGTAGATGACATGAAATATATATGAGGTTGAACTCCAGATACTTAAAGATTCAGCTCCACACATAGCAGTTGTACTGAATCGCTCTCTTTGTGTCCAACTGGGACTGAAAAATAAGTTCCTTTTGGTTGCATAGAGCAGAAGTTGTTTAGTCATGAAAAGCCTTGATTGCCCAGCACAGAGGACATTACCTTTTAATTTGCATTTGCAGCGCTGGAACGAGGTTAAAGCTAAGCAACAGGAGAGAAAGTAGACGGGATTGTTGGCCGGCCACAGCTGAGACAGCCATTACAGCTGGTTGAAGAAATGCTGCAAACTTTGCGATCCTGCTGATGTAATTGTCTGTAATGACCCGTTTTTTGTGGCCAAGTGGAATTCAGATTTGATTGCGTCGAGGGAAAAGTCAAAGCGCGTGTTGTTCTAAAAACAAAACCCTCCAAAACTTATTATTGAAACTTGGAAAAAAACGTAGAACCTTAGGTGAATATTTAATATCGACCAAAACAAACTAACAAAAAGGGGGAAAAAGGTGCAAAATTGTCCAATCACAAAAAAACCTCTGCTACAAAAATGGAGACAGCATTTATATTCATGTCCTGTCTCATTTTATTTGCAATTCGCCTTCTCAAAATGTGAGTCTGCGACTGAATACGTTGTCCTCGAAGTGTGTCCTCGTCCCGTCTGAATAGACACTAGAGACAGGTGAAGTCAAAGAAAACGTTCCAACGTCAGAGAGAAAGGTTATAATGTAACATTTAGAAAAATGATAAGAAAGCAAAGCAGTTATTAGCTTCGCGACACATTACATTTATTTTCCACTATCCTGATAGTCCATCTTAACACTTATATAACGGTAAATGACTACCAAACTTTATGTCATGTTTTTATTGTCTAAACAGCATTTTAATGCAGATTCAGACCCCAAAACATAAAATTTTCTGTTTGTACCATCTTGAAATTATAAACCAGTATTTTGTATTACTCAGTATTATGAATGAATCCAGACAGCTTCATGTTAAAATATTTTAAAGAAACTTTCTAAACCTCAGCTTTTCTTCATAATTGATTAGGTTTTTGTGGTTATGGATATAACCAATAAGTTTCCTTGTGGATACATTGTTAGAATATTTTCAAAATGTCACTAATAGATAGTTCTCAGAGTTCCTCTTATTCCCATTAATTTGCTGTAAAATATGCTAATGCTAAAGAAAAACAGTTCATCAGCCCTACATCATTATTTTTGATTGATCTAGTTTATGTAATATACAGGTATCCATGGGTTTGCTATTACAAACCACTAGCAAGTTGTTTTGCTGGACTAAAAAGTGTTAAAGTTTTTTGATGAATATGTTTCAAATCTTAAGGTTTCTAGCTTAAAATACTAGAATTTTATTTGCTGAGGTTTGTTTTGGTAGCATTTAGTAGTTTTTTGTGCTTTTTGTTTCCAGCAGCTAATAAGTTCTGTTGCTAATGGTTGTTAGCATTTTAACTAAGGCTACTGCTAGCAAGTTTTTAAGGAAGTCTCTGAATGTTTCTGCTAGCAGTTGTCGTTCTGCCTAATTAAAGCTCACTCACACGTGAAAATGACTGCAAACAGATGCGTAATTATATAATTTACACCTTTGAAAAGCAATAGTGGAGCCTCCAGCAAACCAGCAGGAATACAGCAAGTGGTTTCTGGATGGTAAATCAGCAACACAACACCTCTATTTTCCAGCAGCCATTGTACAACCTCCAAGCTCAACTTGGGTTCCTGAGTAACAGAGCTGGGTTTCACAGTTGTTGGGTAACAACGTAACAATCTCTGAAGTTTATTAAAATAAAAACATGATTTACCATCAGCTGTACACGTGACAAACTATAAAAATCAAGAGTTACAAATCTACGCCGCTGTTGCCCACACTGCCCAACTCAACATTTACACTCACTCGTGAAAATGGCTGCAAACATCTGCAATTATACAACTGTACATCTAAAACAGAAGTATACATAAAAATATATACTTATTGCCAAATAGCTTAGGCTGTTTCAGATGCAGTTGAGACCCAAATGAAAATATAAAAACGTATAAACAGTGTGTTTAGTATAACAGCTCCACTTTTAAAATCCTCAGAATGCAATAAAAGCTGAGAAAAAAAATAAAATAAAAGTGAGTTTGAAAAAATATGGAACCCTGAAACTTTCACAGAGCTTTGGCTTTCTAATAGCTTTGTGTCTTTTCAATTTATCTATTCTTTCTTTCCACATTTAGTTTAAAAGTCTGTCATAATCCTAGAATAACTAACTTAATATAGATGGGCTGTGGCACTGGAATTGCAAGCCTTCGTCAGAAGAGGTTATCAGAAGTCTTTTTTTATGCTATTCATCACCAGCAGGCAGGGCACTGCCAGGAGCTCAGTGGGTTTGTTTCATGAAACCAGGTGCAGCATTGAATTTAGAAAGGTGTACCTTTCTTATCTCATAGATACATTCTTACCTTTTCATCCTTTTCCCCTTTCCTCACTTCCTGCCTTTCAATAACAAGCACATTATTGATATTCTCCTTCCTCCCTGGTAGAAACAGAAACAGAAAATCTCAGCGCATCGCCATTCTTATGCGTATTTTTTATATTTCAAAAGAAAGCTTCATAAAATAAAATAAATATTTGTTAGCCTAAAGAGAACATACAACAATGCTGTTAACTGTTCACTTGTTAACAGTTTCAGAAAGTCCAGAAAACAAACAACACACTCGGTTGTTGTTTGTCACTGGGTGTGTGTGTGTGTGTGTGCTGTGGTTTTACCATAGGGTTGCTAAACTCGAAGCTCAATTGGAAGCAGGTGTGGCGTAAAGACCTAATCACATTTGCAGCTCATTACCCAGCGACTGTGTGCACATATTTGCCTCTCAGTGTCCTTATTAATCAGGCACAGACAACCCTAAGTGCTCCTCTCCACTTTTCCACATGACTTGCTACAAGCAACAGTAGAGCACAACAACGTGATGAGACCACCTGCTGCTGGCTGCTTTTCCAGCACCTGCAATGCAAACGCTCATAATTTCTCACTTGACCTCTAACCATTTGCCAATTGGCAGAGCGTCAGTTTTTTGGCCCGCTTGAATGTTGTGGTACTCGCTTCGGAGTGATCATAACAGCATTAGGGGAGCTTCCTCGCTCATCTGTAACTAATATAATACTGTATGTGGTCGTTTTCTAAATCAGCAGAAGTTGTACGGTGAAATGGAAACGCAACACGGTCCAAAATGTTTTCCTGCATGCAAACGGATCACAGTTTTCTGGGGGGGTTTAATCAAAATTTGCTTATTTAGACATTTGTTCACTTTTTTAAGTGGCGTTCCCACATGCATCCGAACTGCACCAGAGTTCACTTCAACTGAACCTGGATCAAAGTTTGTAGGCTACGACGGAGTATCAGAGTTAAGATAAATATAAAGTCCTAAAATTATGAGAATGAAGGTGAATAATATAGAAATAAAAATCTAAATATTATTACTTAATCTCATATTATTTCGTCTTCATTCTCATTCAGCTTTGTAACATTATGACCTTCTTGTAATTTCATGACTTTCTCTTTAAATTCCTAACTGAAGGTTAATATCTGGCCATCAGCTCAACCTGATGCAATAATCCATCGCACATCAGCCAAAATTCTTCTTAAAAACTACCAAAAAAAACTAAAACATTTTGGAGTGGCCTTGTCAAAGTTTTCCGGTCTTCCAGTAGAGAACATTAGAGAGAGTACTTCACTAAATACTGAGAGCAGCTGTGTGAAAAAGCTCTGTGAAAGCTCTTCGTGTGGCCACAAATGCATAACATAAGCTGAAACCATTCGCCAAATTTCCTCCTCCTCAGTGACGTTAAAAACTCTTCCCAGCCAAATGCTTAATGGCAGCTGGTGATGCCAAAGGTGATGCAGCCAATTATTAGGTTTGGAGAGGAATTAGTTTCCACATCGGGCCGGGTTGGTTTTTTATCCCTCTTAATGAATGAAATCATTATTTAAACTCTGCTTTTTGGATTTACTCAGGTTATTTTGTCTGATGTTGATGTTTGATGATTTGAGACATATTTTTAAAAATTTATATATTTTTTTACTTCTATATAGAGTTATTTTTTTGTCAATTTTCCACATCCAGATTTCTGAATGAATTAACAAAAATTCTAATATTAATCAGAATATAAAGAATACTGCCTACAGTTATTTAAACAATGAAATATAAATACTTATGTCTCACTGAAAAATGCTACTTTAATATTAAAAACTTAAAATAGTGGGAAAAAAAAGTTTAAATAATGAGGGGAAAATATTCATTGAATAGTTCGATTCTATGGTTAACCTTAATGTTGGACATTTAAAATGGTAAAGATAAAAAACTTAATGAGAAAAAAGTCTAAATTATGAGAAAAATGTGGGGGAAGGTCTATAAAATGTATTTCTTTCAAGTTCATGTGGATTATTAAATGAATATTAGCATGAAAATAAAAAATATTCACTAATTATTGGGGGAAAGAAATAATTAGCTTTTCATCTTTACATTTCCCATTTAAAGCTGCCCATAAAAAATGTGCCATTTTGAAATCTTCTCAAATTTCTAAGTCCAGAATCAGCAATAATGGCAAAAAATGTAATGAAAATGAAAACTTTTAAAGTTTCTCACTAGTTCATGCTCTGATCTGACCCTCTGAAATAAAATGTCTTCTTCTACCATCACAGAACTGTTGAACAAACACATCTTAAATGGAGAGAGTGAAGTGATTACATTAAATTGACTTCCACCGTGGTGCACAGTAAGAAATAATTTGCTTGTTCGTAAATGAACCCTGAATGAAATTCTTCGGTATTTCAAGACGTGCCACGCTTTGATGTTCCGTCACTTTCACGAATTTCCTCAAAATTATTTGTTGCAAATTGGGTTCAGTCACAGATAACAGCAGCGATTATGAGGCTGAGCATTTCAGGGGTCCACACCAAGACATGTATACGCATAAATAAACCGCAGAGAGGGAAGACAGGACGAAAATAGTTTACAGGAAGGCTTGATGTGGGAGTCCTGTTGGGCTCTGGCGTCTATTCTTCTGCCTTTTTATCTCTGATGCTGAGCATGTCTCCGCCGTCTCGTAAGGATCTCGGTTTCCTGTTTGGTTCGGCCCAAGAGACACACATGGCACCGTATAAAGGGCCATAAGTGGGACACAGAGACTCGGAGTCCCGATAAAATGAGACAAGAAAAAAGGCTTTGAAAGCTGAGACGTGTTTTCACTGAGCTGTCCTAAGATTATTATTATTACCAAAGATCTATTTGTGGCTACTTCTTAGTTTCATCAGAATTACAAATGAAACTATGTGGTTTAAGATGTAACTTGTTTTACGGCTTATATAAGACCACTTAAAAATTAAATTCACATTTTCAATGTTTTTGTATTTAAATTTGAGACTGTTTCTAAAAAATACCCACCCAACCATATTTTGGTAATAAGCTAATAATTTTTGGTGTTTGGAAAATGAGCTGTTTCAAAAACCTCTGGAATGTTAAGTCACATTCGACATGCACTGTGTCATTACCTACAAACCCCAGTGGAGTCCCACCCCATTAGGTCAGCTGGTCTTATGGCTGTACAATGGCTGCTGGAAAAAAAAAATTCTTATTGACTTATCATCCAGAAACCACTTCCTGTACTCTCGTTGGTTGTGCAGGGGGCTCCACTTCTGCTTTTCAAAGATGTACATTTGTATAATTGTGCATCTGTTTGCAGTTATTTGAAGTTGTAAATGTTGACTTGGAGCAGCTAATTTGGTTTAGTTAAAGGTGTAAGAAAATTGTTACAACTTTAATTTTCTTGTATTGATACCAAAGATCAACATTGTTATCAGCATAAATGTTGATCTTTGTACCAATTTAGTCTTCCCTGTCTCATATTAATACAATTTTTAGAAGTTTTTAATTAGAATACATGTTCTATTGTAACCTCACACATTTCATTTATATTAATTTTGGATATATAGACAGATCCTGAGAAAAAATTAACACCAACAGACAGATCAATCAGTATTGTGGGTAGAAATTATTTTGTAAATGGCAGATAATTTACTGTAAGGTATAATAGAGTAAGAGAAATCCAACAGATGAAACAGTCACAACTTTCGTGCTGCTGATTCCCTCTTATTGTCTGAATAAAATGGATTATTCATGTACACTAAAGTGCAGAAAATGGTAGCCGGGTCAAGAAAAATTGACTGAAATGTTTCAAATTAAAGCTAGAAAGGTGTAAAGAATAGAAAACAAAAGCTGAGCCATTGGTCAGCCTCAGGCTGAAGATGAAGATCTGCAGATCTACTTGTCAGAACTGTAACGATCAGAAGACATCAATCAAGAGGCAAGCTATCAAAAGATATTATTGACCATTTTTATGTCGATTCCAAGCTGCTCTTACGCTTCTTTTTTTATGTCGACCTGCCAAGAGACTGGAGATGTGGATTAGCCAAAAGCTACAATCTGGTGCAACTCATCAAATGATGACGTTTCATGTCTTGCTTGTACATTGTCACTTTTTAAACAGAATCCAAGAAGTGTTGCACACAAAATCAATTCTTAAAAAAAACAAAGAAATTCATTCTAAGACCAAAAAATACCAACTCCATGCAACAGCTGTGATGCAGTTCTCATAAATGGTGATCAGACAAATAAATATTCTTTCAGTGAATCACAGTGAAGTTAAATCTTCAAGCATTTTTCTTTTCTTATAAAAGATGTTTCAGTTTGTGATTGAAAATATGTTTCTTTAAAAACACTTGCATTCCATTCTTCCTCACTTTCTGTAGAATAACAAGTCATTTGGTCAATTTCTTTTCAGATTTTTTTCTTTTGGAATATATGTGGGTCAAAATTTCACTCACATTGAACAAAATCAACAGTTAAGCAGAATTTCTTTAGACAAAGTAATGAAAAAATAACAAAATTGGGCAAAAATATATATTTTTTCCCAAATCAGTTTCTTTCAATTAAAACTTATGAAACTTTAACAAAAACTGCAGGGTTTGTCTGAGTCTGGTGGATTTTTGGTTGAAACATGTTTGTTTTTCAATCAGTGAGTAGAAAATTCAGAAATTTTACTCAAGTAAGAGTAAAAATACTTCACAATAAAATTACTCAAGTAAAATACAGCGCAGCAAAAGTACTCCTAAAAGTTAATTTAATTTTGAAAATGTAACTAGTTATTCTGTCCTACATTAAACTTAATAAGGTGTCTAGTGAATAGAAATAAAAGTGTAAATCCATGTCGGTGACGATGGAACCAAAAGATGCAGTAATAATATTCAGTTTTGCATTGGATTGATCCTATTTTAATCATTGTCAACATTGTGAGTTTAATATTCTGAATGTTTCAGTTTGTTGTTTCGATGTGACGGTTTTAGATTCGGTTGCTTACAGATTCAGGTGAAGCTTTGCTTGTGTGCAGAAACCTTGAGGAAGCGCTCTCCCTCACTGTCAGACGCCGAATCTATATCAGGATTCATTCTTATTCAAATTGCATCCCGCCAGCTCATAA